CTGGGTAGTGTGCTGGGTAGTGTTTTGGATGCTGTGCTGGGTAGTGTGCTGGGTAGTGTGCTTGGTACTGTGCTGGGTAGTGTGCTAGGTAGTGTGCTGGGTAGTGTACTTGGTACTCTGCTGGGAAGTGTGCTGGGTACTGTGCTGGGTAGTGTGCTGGGTAGTGTGCTAGGTAGTGTGCTGGGTACTGTGCTGGGTAGTGTGCTGGGTAGTGTGCTGGATACTGTGCTGGGTAGTGTGCTGGGTACTGTGCTGGGTACTGTGCTGGGTAGTGTACTGGGTAGTGTGCTGGGTACTGTGCTGGGTAGTGCAGTAAGAACAGTTTGCCAAATATACCAGCACATTGGCGTGGAGGTACTTGCAGACCGAGAACTTGGTCTTCTCTGCGGGCAGAGGTGGGAAGAGGTCATCAGTGTTTTGAAACAGTTCAGTGACTTTCTCCAAGGAGAACCAAGCAGTGACACGTGAATAAGTGGGAGGGCTGGTGGCTCGTCCCCACTTCCCGTCCCCTGGCTGAAGGCCATCCGTCCAGAACACGGGGGCCAGAGCCAGTTGCGGTTGCTGCACCTGATGAGAGGATCCTGGTGAATGTGAAACTGGAGAATGTGGTTGAAAAGTCCCGCAGGCACCCTGAGGCCGGGCCATTCCCGGCTCCAGCTCGCAGCTGCTGGAAGGGCCTGGCCTGTGCCTGGGCCTCCTTGTGGGGGGAGGAGGTGACAGGGGGGATTCTAGGTCAGCGGCAGGAGAAGTAGCCCAGTCCAAAGTGCAGCAGTGCGAAGGGGGAACCGCAGTGAAGTCCTGAGGGCTGTGGGCAGAGTTCCTGAGGACAGGCCCCGCTGGGCTTGTTCACAGCGGTAGCCGCAGGACCTGGGTCTCTGCCAGCCACCTCACCTGTCTCCTCTCAGTCATTCACGAGGCAAGTGTCACTATCCCCCCTCACAGAGGAGAATGCTGGGACCTGACCTGGCTGTCAGGTAGGAGAGGTGGGCTTCAGTCCTCTCTGAACCTCTGTGTCTTCCTCTGTACAGAGCAGGCACCAGGGGAATGTTGGGTGGACAGAAGGATGGAGGAGGCACATTGGGGTGGGGGACACTGGCAACAGAGAGCGGGGGCTGACGGCAGAGGAGGGAGAGGCCTTCACCTGGAGTCTCTTGTCACCCTCTACACATTGCACTAAGTGAGTGTTATTTTTTTTAAAATAAATCTAGAGCATATTAAAGAGGGCCAATATCTCCCAAAGTGAACAAAAGGTCACTTTCGAGAGATCTACAAAATGAATAAATAAATAGATTAACTAATTACAAGAAAGGTGCTTTGACAATAACGAGATGTACTCAGATCCGAGATATGGATGCACAGATGTTTAAGGATGATCTAAGTAATTAGACTGAAATGTTACACACGGGCAAGGGGGAGCCACGTCTGTGTCCCCTGCAGGTGCGTCCACCCTGGGAGCCTCCCTCCACAGCACGAGGCTGCTTGCGAGAGGAGGAAGAGAGGGTGGAGCAGGGCCCTGGTTTCCTGTGCTCACTGCACCCCATACACAGGTCTGTGGTTTAGGAGCCAGGAGATTAACCAAGATTGGTTCACTCACCAGGACTCACTAAGACCTAAATCAGCCCCTGTGGTTAAGAAGAGCTACTAGTAAAAAGAGCATTTGAACTGCCTGTACCTTTGTACCAGGTGCAGAGCTTGGTGATGCTGAGACGCTTGAAGACCAAGGTTGGAGGAGGAGGAAGAGGAAGAGTAGGAGGAGGAGGAGTTGGAGGGGGAGAGAGAAGGAGGAGGAGGAGGAGGAGAAGGAAACGCAGAGAGAGCAAAAGGAGACGGAGAAGGAGAAGAAAGATGAGTGAATAATCACTTCAAAAACATCATCTGATTCCTTTTAGGCTTAGTCCGTCTGCTGCCTAGGCTGACGTCCTGGGCACACACCCTGTGCACTCACAGAAGCCTGTGACCTCCGAGGGACTCAGCCCTGGTTGGAAAACCTGCGGTGGCAGTCTTGAAATGTTGATTCGTTTTGGAAGAAGGGGCCTTCCATTGTAATTTTGCCCTGGGCCCTGCAAATACATAGCTCATCCTGGTTTCTATAGCTAGAGACCCGCACCCTGGGAATTCCATGCAACCTGAGACCACACCACACTCCTGGGCCTCTCCTTCATGCTTCAGAGTGTTTGACGAATGTTACATGTCATTCAACGGTTACGTGGAGAGCTTCTCCCCGGAGCTCAGGAGGCTGAAGCAGGAGGATCTCAAGTCCAAAGCCAGCCTCAGAATATTAGAAAGGCCCTCAGCAACACAGCAAGACCCGGGTGCAAATAAAATAAAATGTGCTGGGGATGTGGCTCAGTGGTAGGTGCTCCTGGGTTCAATCCCTGATACGCCCCCCCCAATTAAAATAAATAAAATTCATAGGTGCTTATTATTAAATAAAACAGGAAGTCAGATATACCTGAAGAGCTAAAAGAGACTTAAAGTGTGTAAGCATCAGGGTCACCGTGGGAGTGGTCCAGGCTGGACGTGGCCCCCGGCCGTGGGGTGCTGAGCCTGGGGTGCCCGTCCTGTGTCCCACACTCGGCACACAGCAGGCCTTCAGGGCAGGGCACTTCATTCCTGAGCTCCGACCTCCAGGTCACAGGGAAGGAAGGGGGACATGGTCCTCCCCACTGTCCTTCGCTGCTCTGCTGGCCTCCTGCCTCTCCTGGCAGCCTCTGGAGCTGAGGGCTGCCTTCCTGCCCCTTCCAGCTCCTGAGGCCAACTGCCCTCTGCCTCTGCCCTGCAGCTGCTCTCCTCCCAGCAGCTCTGGCCCAACCAGGGCCCTGAGTGTGGGGGCAGCCCTCCCCCTCCAGGCTGCCCTCCCCCTGCACACACTCCCCTCCCCCAGCTTCATCTGGCTCATGGACAAGTGGGGGAAGGAGACGTGGGACAGACAGACAAGCAAGGCCAAGTGTCTTCCCCTGGCCAGGGCCCTCTGGGGCTCCCTCTAGCTGTTGGTGGCCCTTGCTGCAGTGAAATCCACAGTGCTCAATTCAGAGGGCCCCTGATGGCTAGTGCAGGCCACTAGGGGTTGAGTGGTAAGCGTTTTATGCAGGCCCAGGATGAATGTTCACGCCACAAAGGTTCCCTTGAAGGCTGTAGGGCGTTGCATCTTCTTGAACAGAAATGTAGCTTGCTTTCTGAGCCGCAGGGGGGATGGTTTCAAGGTGGACAGACTCTAACTATTTTATGGTTACCTTGAGCAACTGGAATATTCTTCTAACTCTCCAAAATATATAAATGGATTTAAGAGACAATCTTCAATCCTCTCCTTCTATAAAATCAGATTAGCCTCGTGGTGAGGGCAGGCCCTTAATCCCTTCAGCTCAGGAGGCTGAGGCAGGAGGATCAGGAGTTCAGAGCCAGCCTCAGCCAAACTGAGGCCCAAAGCAACTCAGTGAGACCCTGTCTCTAAATAGAATACAAAATACGAATGGGGGTGTGGCTCAGTGGTGGAGCGCCCCTGAGTTCAGTCCCCAGTCCCCAACCAAAACAAATTACTTCCAAACTGGATATTTGAAAAAATTGCATGAAACTTTGATTTTTTTAGTATTTATGACTACTCTGGAGTAGAAAGCAAGACTTCACACCAAAGTGGAAGAGACGTTCTTATACACTCAGAGACACGCCCCAGCACTTCAGCAGGCACAGTGTCCGTCTGTCCATTGGTCATACACACTCGAGTGAACCCTTCTGGTGGATGCATTTATGCTCTCAATTTTGTCCAGAAAAACAACAGTGATTCAAAAACAACAGTGATTCAATCTTGAATCAAAAAAATAAAGTTCTTACCTCTCTAGTGAAAGATTATAGCGTGCACAGGGTTTAAGGTAAGAAACAGGACAAATTCACGCGGACATACAACATAGTCTCCTTACTCTCGTGTTGGCGATGTGCTGGAGCATCGCACTCGCACACATTTTAGAAATGTGAGTGGCTGTGAGCGTCTTGACTCCTGAAGTTGCTATTTAGTAAAGAATTGGGGTGTCACTGGGAGAATTCTGTCACTCCTGGGGGTGGAGACAATGACATGGGTTAGGCCTGGGGACCTGTGAATTTTCTCTCTCCTGCTTGTTCCTCTGCCCTGCACTGAAGCTCATTGGCCACACGGGCTCATTCCAACTCCCTCAACTAACACTATAAATACAGGTCGGACTCATTCACGTTCAGTGTCACATCTCCTCGAAGCAGATCCCGGATATAGGTCACTTAGTGGGCAGGTCACCCCAAGGAAACAACAGACGGGCCATGCCACGTGTCTCCGACAGCCCCAAGTCTCCCTAAGGCACCCTGCCGTCCCCTGCTGAGGGGTAGAAAGAAGTTGGTGGTCACATGTCTGTGCATGCTCAGCTCAAAGTCACTGTGAAAGGTTCAGACGGGGAACACAGACATTTCAAGGTGGCAGACTTGAGCCCCCTGGGCATGCTCAGTTCAGGTCCCAGAGACGGCAGGTGTGAACCTCTCTAGACAGGCTCAGTTCAATAGGAAATGATCCAAGCGTTATCTTGGAACCTAAAAGAAAACAATAAATAAAGAGTGGTCCCGGGATCTTAGATGTCACGGCTGGTTCTTTGTTTCTCCAAACAGTTTGAGCTAGAATAAAACCCACACCATATCGAAGGTGTGTTAGGAATTGGCCTGTAAACGTGCCTGTCCCACTTAGTAGCTAACAGACTCAGTCCCTGGCGAGGGGGACATATTTTAGCCCCAAACTGCTCCGGGATTCAATCTCCATTACGGTTGGCTTGGAAGTTTGTCCAACTGGACGTGATTTTTATATTTGTTCAAGGGCTCCTTTTCCTCATCTCTAGTGTATGCTCACAGCTCTCTATCAGAGATGGGCAAACCAGGGCCCAGGGGCCACACCCACCCTAAACCTGTTTGGAACCTAAGGTTTTCCTGGAATGCAATTACACTTGCTTTCCCATCCCATCTGGCTCTTCTAGAAATCTCTTTTCACATCACAGAGCTGGAGATCCTTTCTTAAATAAGGAATTGGCCAAAAAAAAATGACCTCCCATGGAATGAAGACAGGTATCTCCTTCCCCTCCACCCACCGGCTGACCCCACCCTAAGTGCCGGACACTTGGCCCTGTGTGACCCCAGAACTCTTCACACTTCCTCAGTGAGTCTAGCTCTGTCTTCTCCACACAGTCCTCATTCTAAACCTGGGTGAACGGGTGCCGCGCTCTTGTTGCCTCCTTAGTTTCTATACTTTGTCCCCACCCCCTTCCATTTTGGCATTTGGGACTTCCCAGTTGCTTTCTCATAGGTGTGCTTTGAAAAGGAAATTTTCTCCAAAAATGATCGCTGCACACCACCTTCAACAGACTTCCAAACACTGCAACGGATTCCCCGACAACCCGTTGACAGTTGTTTTTGAAGTATTTCCAACCATCAGTGGGAAATGCACCTCTCTCTACTCCAAGATTAACAATAGAAATGAAGGAAACCGTCATATATGAACACGTGGAGCTGACCATTACGGGAAAGTCCGTGTAAAATCAAGCTGCCGGTATAAATAGATCGTCCTGGATGATCTTAGCCATTTCCATAAAAGCTAAATTGCAAAAAAGTGATATTAACCACCATCTCAGGAGAATGAAACATAACCATCCTTCCTGATAAGATTAGTTATTTATTCTTCCTTAAGAGCGCATCCCAGTGTATTATGGTCAGTTTGGGGGAGAGGTTTCTAGGGGTTGAACACAGGGGCAGGCGCTTAACTACTAAGCCTCATACCCAACCCCTTGTCCGCTAAATCTACAGACATGGTCTTGCTAAACTGCTTGGGGGCTTCACTAGTTGCTGAGGCTGGCCTCAAACTTGCTATCCTCTTGCCTCCGACTCCTGAGCTGGTGCCCCTGCAGGCGGGCTCCACCACGCCCAGCTGTGTTCCAGTTGACAGTGTGGCCAGCGCCCCTCTCCAATAGCTGAAATGATTAAGTGGGATTGCCGACTGGATTGGTTTAAGAGGTGAGGATTAAGAAGATTCTGGGTGTGCCCATGGGGTGTGTGTGTCTTGGAGTGATTGGCTTCTGGCCGAGCCAATTGGAGAGGAGACCCTCCCTAAGCGGGGGCAGCTCAGATCAACAGGATGGCGGATAAAAGCCAGAGGCACAGGGGGGCCCCAGCAGAGACAAGCTCCCTTCTTCTGCAAAGGGCTCTTGATGGATCCTGCGACCAACTCAGGTTGTGCACTCTGACAACCTCTTCCAAAGTGGACTCTGCCCGTGATTCTGCAGGGAGTTTCCAGAAGCCTTGGGTCGTGGACCAGGGAAGACGGTGGACCCTCTGGTCCTGGGCCCAGCCTCCTGGATTGTGCGCCTCCTGGTTCTGCCAGCTCTCCAGCCTGCAGACGGCCGCGGTGGACTCTCCAGCGTCTGGTGGCACGAGGCGACCTAATATCATTGTGCCTCCTGTTGGTTCGGTTCCTCCAGGGAATCCTAATCCCATCGTCGACGGCAGAAATTCTTCTCAGGTGAAAGGAGAAGCAGGTCAAGACCCTTCTACCCAGAGCGCGTGTGCAGGAGCCGCAGAGCCAGGAGAGAGGACTGCGCTCCACTGCCCTCCAAAGAGGGTGGGACCTGGGCTGTTGCCTCCTGCTGTGACGTCCTAGTGTCCTCAAGGTTGGGGGACATAGCAACCGGGCTCCCACGCGCTTGGCTTGCCTGGACACCCAGCACCACTTGACAGTGTACCTGTGGCTTCTCCTCTCGACGCGAGTTGTCTGGAAGCAGCCCCCGCAGCCCCGCGCTCATGGGCGGCTCCCTGGCCAGGTGCCTGCAGAGGTGCCTGCGCACCGCCTGGGCCGCGCTGCCGTCCTGCCGCGCGCAGCAGCCCGGTTCTGCCAGCCCCAGGTCCGTGCGCCGACCCCGGGACCCAGGGCTCTTCCATCCTGCGCTCATCTTCCCGGGCTTCTTTGTCCTCTCCCGAGCCCTGCCCCGCATCGTGCCAAAGACGGAGCCAAATGAAGGCCCCAGGCCAGCGGACCCCCCGGATGCCCAGCCCGGGGCGCCCAAGCCCCCTCTCTGGCAGCTCTTGAAGGCGGGGCTGAGCGCTCCTGGCCCAGGCCACACCAAGAGAGGGCCTCCGGGTGCCCAGAGGCGCCGACGGATCCGCAGCCCGGTCACAGTCCTCATCGACCCGCCCCAGCGCCCAGGGACCCGCTACGAGTGCCCACCCGTGGCGCCCACCGCAGACCCGTGCGCCAAGGCCACCGTGCTCCAGGCCCTCAGTAAGTGCCCCAAAGGCAGAAAGAAGTTTGACGGTCCTCTCTGGTTTGAGAAGCCAGAGCCTGAGGTCCCCAAGCCCCAGGTGGACAAGCCCCAGGTCGCCAAGCCCCAAGTCCCCAAGCCCGAGGATCCTAAGCTTGAGATTCCAGAGCCCCCGAAGACCCCGGAGCCCAGACCGTCTGCTTTCGCGCCTGTGATCAGCAACGGAGTGGCGCGGCCCTTCGCGCCCCAGCCGGAACCTCTCACCAGGATCTTCCGCCCAGTGCCCAGGAGACCCAGGCAGGGCCTGCCCCCCAGCCACCCCTTGGCTGGCCGTGCCCGCTGTGTCCCCTGGTGCCGGCACTGCACCGGCCAAGGACACTGTCTTGCAGCTGGAGACCCGGGAGCAAGTGCCCCCCAGTCCAGGGGCCTCGGGCCTGGCCGCCGGGCTCAGCAGCCTCAGCAGAAGAGCCCCGCTGAGCCCCGGAGACCACCCAGCCCCATGGTGCCCCTGACGGCCCCCAGAGGGCCCAACGGCCACCTTCTGTTCAGATACACACCTACAGTCACCATCGTGTCCTACTGACTCCGCTCTACCCCACGGGGAGGCTTTGGCCACCCGCAGACTGGCCACTGCTTGGACTCACAGGTCTGCCACTCCCCAACCTTCCTCTTTGTCACCTGAGGAGCCCCCACTCCAGGAGACTGTTGACCCCTCACCCCTGGCCGCCCACTCCCGCTTCTCCCTGGGAAGAGACTGACCAGGGAGGCAGCCTCCGCCCCACGTGCCCATTTCTTAGTAAAGTGATGCTTCCTGTTTCATGGAGTAGGAATAGGAATAGTGAAGGTTTGTTCTCCTAGAGATTGTCCTGTTCTTCCTTTCCAAGACTCTCCCTGGAGGTTCTCCAACTGGACACTGTAGAGGATGGGGCCAGACCTTCTGGTGGTTGGTGCTGTGCTGTGCATGGGAGGGGGGACCAGCAGCCTCCCTGGTCTCTGAGGGGCAGCTGAGCCAATCCACAGTGTCACCAGGCAATTTCTAATGGCTCACATGGCTCTCAGTGGAAGCCACCCATCTAGCTAATTTACAAGAAGAAAAGGGGATATTTTAATAATGTGCTTTCAAGTAATAAAGATTAGAAGTATAATAATTTGTGTAGCACATTGTCATTTGTACAAATTATGTTATGTAACTATCCGTCCGTGTTCTCAGGATGTCCTTTGTAACATACTGATGGGTTTATCTCTGCATTTAGGTAGCTTAGATGTTGTCGATTCAATATGAACTTATCTTTTATCAATGAAGTTGGTTAAACTATTTTAAAATAGTAATGGGCACATTACTAATGATAACATAATATATTCTGTATTCTGTAACATAGTTAATATTATTCTATTATATAAACGATACAGAAACTATGAAGTTGTGTTTCTGATGTGATAAAGAAGGGCAGAAACCAGGCTGAGGTCCCTTGGACACTTGGCCTGGGCGGATCTTTCTATGCAAAGTCTCCACACAGTGTTGGAATTTGAGCCTCGTGGTCTTCCTGTTGAGAGGCAGGGGACCCAGCTGTACCCAAGCCGTCCCTCTTCCCCTGGAGCGTGGTGTCCAGGGTGGAGCAGAAGAGAGACCAGGAAATGCACAGACACACCTTGGGGTGGGGCTGGAGGGACGGCAAGCTCTGAGAGAAAAATAGTGGTCGTTCTAGAGCTTCTCAGGGAAACCGGAAAAAAAAAAAGAATCAACCTTGTAGCTTGAAAGTTTGCATCATTCATGTCTGGGATGGACAGGGCACAGTGTGTCAATGATAGAGAAGAAGGGCTTTGGCCTCTGATTGTATCAACTGAGACACTCTGGGCACTTGGGATGGTCTGTCCCCTGTAGGATAGGATTGTCCTGAACCTTGGGTCCATTATTTCTCTCTGGTCTCTGCTGTAAATGCTGCAGCTCTCTCCAGTCCTGGGTGTAGGTCCAACCCCCAACTCCCACTCTACCCCATCCCCGTGCACATGCACACACACACACACAGACACACACACACACACACACATATTTCTGGGTGGAGCCAATACTAGGTGGTTAAACTGCCAGGCAGCCCGGCTCTTCATCTGTAGCCGCAAAGTTGCCATGCACAGAGGTTACCCCAAACCTTGAGGCTCTATTTCAAGAAAATTTATGTATGAAGACTGAATTTGGAAATCTGGGTCATTTTCAGGTACCACAGACCCCTTCTCTGTCTCTGTCAGACACTTAAGTGTGTAAGCCTCAGGGTCACCATGTGAGTGGTCCAGGCTGGACGTGGCCCCCAGGCCGTGGGGTGCTGAGCCTGGGGTGCCCGTCCTGTGTCTCACACTCAGCACACAGTAGGCCTTCAGAGCAGGGCACTTCATTGCTCAGCTCTGACCTCCAGGTCACAGGGAAGGAAGGGGGACATGGTCCTCCCCACTGTCCTTGGCTGCTCTTCTGGCCTCCTGCCTCTCCTGGCAGCCTCTGGAGCTGAGGGCCGCCTTCCTGCCCCTTCCAGCTCCTGAGGCCAACTGCCCTCTGCCTCTGCCCTGCAGCTGCTCTCCTCCCAGCAGCTCTGGCCCAACCAGGGCCCTGAGTGTGGGGGCAGCCCTCCCCCTCCAGGCTGCCCTCCCCCTGCACACACTCCCCTCCCCCAGCTTCATCTGGCTTATGGACAAGTGGGGGCAGGAGACGTGGGACAGACAGACAACCAAGGCCAAGTGTCTTCCCCTTGGCCAGGGCCCTCTGGGACTCCCTGTAGCTGTTGATGACCCTCGGTCCTGGTGGGCATCCATAGCTCTCCATTCGAAGTGGTCTGTGGGAGCCTTTGGGGCCCCCTCTGGGGACCTCTGTCCTGCAGGTCCCTCTTACATGGGAGATGCACCGTGACTTCTTCAGACCCCCCACCCAGCACGGCTCGGCCTCCCATGGCGCACCTCCAGCCCCACTCCGCCACCTTGCCTGGCCCTGCAGTGGATTTTCACAGCCCCAGACTGCGTCCTGTTCCTCTTGGAAACCTCCTTTGGCCCCAGGAAGGCGCCCAGGTCCAGGCGGCTCTGCACCATTAGACCTCTCCTGCTGAGAGGCTCCCGCTAGTTTCTGCCCCACGGCAGGCACACGCAGGGACCTGGCATGCCGTCCTCTCTCTGGAACCCTAGCTCCTGCTCTTCTGGTGGCAACTGGAGAGAGTCCTGAGAAGGTCTTTGACCGGGGAGCATGCAGCCAGGGGCAGCCGTGCCAGTCTCCCCTGTCACAGACACCTCTGCCCTCTGATCCTATCAGTTCTGTACCTGGCTTGAGGTGCCAGGCCAGCATCACTCCAGATGCATAGCTCTGCTACGGAGCGGGCACCATCCAATCCTCATGGCCCCTCTGCCCACAGCCCGACTGGCTGTGTTGCTGCATCTGCACAAGGGCCCACCCCTCTGCAGGCCCACTCCTGCTGCCCCTCTAACCCTCTTAGGGAATCCCAGGCTGGCCCTCCACCACCCACTGGGGTCCTGGTGCCCTGACCAGGCCACCTCCCCAGCAGGACCTGCAAGAGTGCAGCTAAGTATGTACCCGTTGATGGTTTCCAAATAGGAAAATATCTCCAGATATCAGGAGATCCTGAGTTCGGTCTCACTGTGATCCAACTTGACAAGAGTCACTGTATCGAGGGCTGTGTCCAAGGTGGGTGGAAAAGAGAGAGGAGTCAGCATCCTGTTAGTTACTTGAGTATCTTTAATCAGTCACCGTACATTTTCCATTCAGGCTATTTTGATCCGACTCATCTGCGCATCTTGGTACCTTCAAATCCTCTGCGACGTTCATAGAACAAGGAGTAAGAAGTAGCCAATCTTCAGCATCCCCGTACCCAGTATCCCTGGAAGGGATATTTCCATTTCTACTGTCTTGGTTTCCTGGGGCTACTGTACCCCACCCCCTCCAGAGTGAGGGGCTTAAGCAACAGAAATGTATTTTCTCATAGTTCTGCAAGTTGAGCTCAAGACCAAGGTGCCAGCGATGCCGATCCTTCTGAGGCCTGCCTCCAATCTTTCCATTAACACACAGGTGTCCCCTGCCTGTCCTCCCTGGGTCTTAACTCTGTGCACATCTGCACCCTAAACTCCTCTTCCTATAGGAACCCCGGTCTGATCGGATTAGGACCCGACTTTGGCTTGAGAAAATGCATATGCACAGGCCCACCAACATCCGTCACCCATGTCACTATGCCCCGTACCATTTGTGCTGCTTTTTCATGAAATCCATACAAGTAAACGTGTAGCCTCCTGTCGGGAATCCCAGCAGCTCGGGAGGCTGAGGCAGGAGGATCTCAAGTTCAAAGTCAGTCTCAGCAACTTAGTGAGGCTCAAAGCAACTCAGCGAGATTCTGTCTCAAAATATATAATAAAAAGGGCTGGGGATGTGGCTCGGTGGTTAAGAACCCCTGGGATCCATCCCTGGTACAAAAAAAAAGAGTGAAAGTTTGAATGGTTTATTTCAAAGAAATATTTTGAAATTATAGTGTATTAAATTATATCATTCATCATAGCATATCCTGAGCTCTTGTTGAATATGGAGTTTTTCAAGCTCATATATAAAAGTAAGGGTGATTCTTGCTTTTCTCACTCTCTGAGTATGTCTTGAGAACATTTTAAAATACAGAATAGGAAAAAAAAAGTCCATGTTTCAAAAGTAGTAGTGAACAAGAGCACACATTCTTCTTCTTCTTCTTTTTTTTTAAATGCTCATCTACAATGAGAAATGTTGCCTGTTCCTGTTTCTGAAGGGCAAACACGGCAAACATAGATGGACTACCAATTGAAGGCCTGGGAACTCTGTGTAACACACCTGTAGCGGGCATTCCAGAGCACTGGGAAGCGGTTGGGGGTCATTATCTCAAACATAAAAGAACCTGCGTTCGTCACCTTCCACAGCCACCAAGAGGCTGGGAAAGAGGGACAGGATCGCGGGAAATACCCCGCGGAGTTAATATCAGATGGTTCTCAATAAGTCAGTTAAAGTGCTGTTTTTTTTTTTTTTTTTCTTTTTCCGTAGAAGAGCAGGTTGGGAAACCTAGCAAAGCTGGGATCCAAACACAGCCCCCCTTCCAAAGAAGACGGCCCCCGCGCCCCCTGGAAATCGGAGCTCCTTTCTACCAAGACAACCGGCTGCAAGTCAAGGTCTACTGGAAAAAGACAGAAGGTAGGCCCAGAGCTTTGGCTTCACCATTACTTGTGCTCAATTGCACAGTGATATAAATAAATATAGGATTTTTTTATAGTAGGGATTGAACTCAGGGGCCCTCAACCACAGCTCTAATGGTATTTTATTTAGAGACAGGGTCTCCCTGAGTTGCTTTAGTATCTCGTTTTTGCTGAGGCTGGCCTTGAACTCACGATCCTCCTGCCTCAGCCTCCCGAGATGCCGGGGTTACAGGTGTGCAACACCGTGCCTGGCTAAATTAATTTTTATTAAAAAAAAAAACGAACCATGTTACCTAATTTGGAAAGTATCACCTCAATATCAGTTATTGGAATTGCATGTGGATTGGTGTTCTCTCAGAAGCTGTGTTTCAATCAGCTGTTTCCCGTGGACGTGTGGATATGTGTGCATAAAGCATACACAGTTATTGGCACACAGCATTGCATGGCTATGTGCTATCACCACCCAGTTCTCCTAACATTTTCAAGTGGCTGCATCCTATGGCTTGTCCTGATGTACCACCTCACTATTCCAGTACAGCAAGACGTGGAGGTTCCCGTATAATTTCCATTTCATAATCAATGCTATCATGAACACTTCTCCTTGGGATAGATTCTTCTTCTCTGAGCATTTATCTGTGGTATAAATTCCTTTCGTTTCCTTTACCCTGAGGATATTAATTGTGGCAAGAGCACTTTAGAATACATGACGTGCAAAATTTAAATGCTTCTATGCGTCTTAAAAACATAAGCAAAACAGGTGGTTTTTAAGTGTTCAGTTTTACAAATTCTCATTCTTCTGAAGTCCTATTTATTCAGGGCTTTGATGGTTCATAAGGAATATTGGTGTCAGAGTAAGTTTTTGCTCCAGAATTTTCTTTCAAACTGCTGAGAACTATTCTATAAACCAAGCAACATAGCTCTTATGATCAATATATTTCATTCCTAGCAGAAGTTAATTGAATTTATAAGTCATTAAACATTTATTAAATGATTATATACCAAAATCACATATCCATATTAAAATTAATTTATAAAAATATGACATTAAATTTTATTTGAACTATTGCATTGATCAACTGTTAAATAAAATTATAGAATAATATTAATATCAATTATATTTTCTTAATAATGCTAAAACTTTCCAGTGTGGTGGTGCACACCTGTAATCCCAGCAGCTCAGAAGGCTGAGGCAGGAGGATCCCAAGTTCAAAGCCAGCCTCAGCTACTTGGCAAGGCCCTGAGCAACTTAGGGAGAATCTGTCTCAAAATAAAAAATAAAAAGGGCTGGGGATGTGGCTCAGTGGTTGGGTGCCCTTTGGATTCAATCTCTGGTACCAAATAAATAAATAAATGAAAACGAGTCTTTTTCCAAAGCTCTGTGGTACTAGGTTTGTACCCAATCAAGCATACGTGTGCAGGTTACTTTGGGGAAATTTTCATATTGTCTTTTGACATAATTTTTCAATTTTGAGATAATAGCTCACTGTCTTAACCACTGTAGACTTATTAATTAGTTTCATGAGACATCCCCAAGTTTTTTACTTGTTTTTACAAATTGCCTCGACAACTCTTAGCCCTTTGCATTTTACCATAACTATTTGAATTAATCCTTCAGTTTCTACACAAACCTTTTGTGCTTTTTATTAATGTTGCAATTCATCTATGTATTCATGATTGGAGAATTCCCATCCTGTTTAAAAATACTGCCCAGCATGGTCGTTCATGCCGATAATCCAAGTGGTCTGGGAGGCAGAGGCTGGAGGATCACAAGTTGGAGGCTAGTCTTGGCAACTTAAAGAGGCCCTACGCAACTTAACGAGACCCTGTCTCGAGATAAAAATTACAAAACAAAACAAAACAGGCTAATGTTTTGGTTCAGTGTTTAAATACTCCTGGGTTCAGTCCCCAGTACCAAATAAGTAGGTATACAACTGAGGGCTGGGATATAGCTCAGTTGGTAGAGTGTTTTCCTAGCATGCAAAGGGTCCTGGATTCAAACTCCAGAAGCACAAAAGAAAAAGAATTAAATAATAAAAATACAGAATCTTACAACCTGTAAGCATGGTGGTATATTCCTTTATTCAGATTTCAAATTTTCCTGTCAATCCCGTCTCCTGATATATTATTATAAAGAGACAATAAGACCTTTTATTGTGGTTATTCCAAGATGTGTTCATTCTGATCCCATTATAGATGACACGTGTTGTCTGAGCTTCATTTTGTCATGTTTGCTCTTGGTGTTTTATAACTGCATTTTTCATTCATATTCTGACTCTGAATCCGGAAAAACTGCTACGCTGATATTCTCCTTATTTATTTCTAACCTTGGATTATTTGAACTATCATTTTCTCAAGTCTGTAAATCAATCATTTAAAACATCCAGGAGAGAAATTCTGTCTGTATTCACCAGCCAACAGCGGGGTGCACAGTGGTGTCGAATTTGACATCACCACGCATGCTATAACCGCCGTGCAATAAGAGACCACATCCAAAAGCAAGGAAGTGACATGGGTTTTAAAACCGATGTCCTTGTGACTTTGGCAGCTTGGACATGGTACTTTGAGAAAGTCTACTCAACACTGAATCTGGGGGATCGCGTATCATCTTTAGCCAAATGCTTGTCTCGGCTGATGTTGTTGTGATTTTCGGCTCCTGTGGGCTCATTTTTGCTGAGTGATAACAGAACAGGCACTTGGTGTCGGCCTTCCGGCTCCGGACTTGGTGTTTTTACAGCATAAATAGGGAAAAATGAGCTCAGAGAGAGAAAGGGGACTTCATGCTACTGTTTTAAGCAGAGGTGCCTAGCAGGGGTCTCCCAATGGTTCTGGGTTGTATATAGTGCCCTTCCAAACGTATGTCCTGTCTCGCTGCAGCTGTGACCTTTGGTTCCCATGTTGTCCTCGGGTACCCCAACATGCACACTGGCTCTCGGAGCTGCAATGTCAAGCAACCCAGGTGCCGGATCACGAGCCTTTCATGAACGTAGGCGTTTGCAACCAACGGAAAATTCTAGTTCCCTTCATTGACGCTGTGCACGGCGAGTTAGACGTCTCTGAACGCATCTCCTGTTTAAGGCATATTGGAAGCAAATTCCCAAATTTAAAAATACTTTTTCAAGGACTTCTACCTGATGCTACTGGTTTGTGGGAGGAAGGGATGGAGTCCAGAAGTAGATTCATTGGGCAGTCAGGATAGAATTCTCATGTACAGTTGGACCCTGGTGTCTGCAGGAGATCGGTTCCAAATTCCCTGTGGATATTCATGTCCTTGATATAGAATTATTTTATTTGCATATAAATTATGCACCTTCTTCTGTATACTTTATACCATCTCTAAGCGCCTCGTAATACCTAATACCCTATGTAAACACTGTGCAAAAACTATTTACATACAACTGTTACACTCTTTTCATTTGTATTACTTTTTACTTTTTATAACAACTGTTACACTCTTTTCATTTGTATTACTTTTTACCAATCTATTGCTATTTTTTTCCCAATATTTCCTACTCATTGTTTGCTTGGACAGTGTTGCGTTTAATATTCTGGGTACAGGTCAAGCCCTGCACTCAAAATCTAAAGTATAAGCTCCTAAGATCTCAATAACTTGGAAGAGGAAGGTAGAGACATTTTCTGTAAATGACTATTGCGGGAGTGAGGGTCACCAAACGGATTCTTTTTAATTCAGCTCAAAAAACATAAACACTGGGAATGTGGCTCAGTGGTTAAGCACCCCTGGATTAAATCCTCAGTACCCAAATGAAAATTCTTTAAAAAATTTAAAATAAAATTATTGAGGACATTTCAAATCTGAGCTTATTTAACATTTCCTGTTCCCAGATGGCTTTTACCTCCCGAGGGCAATATGGTTCCTCCAGCACACTGTTTTTCTTTCCTGTGTTAGATTATAAGTGAATGAGCACTCATTCGCTTATCATTTGATAAATGTTTGCTGAGTATATCCCTATCTTGTACGGTGCTCATCTTTGGGCACCCAATAGTGACACCAAGTGGGCGCCATCTTGGAGATCATGCAGCTGTAGCCAAATGGGGTCTCAGGATGAGTCCAGTAATCCCAGGACAACCTGAGGGGACGCTACATGAGAGGGCCATGCTGAGGCAGCCGTGAATGTCATGAGGCAAGACCTGGACCCGACACCCATGTTGTGCTCAAGGTTATCTTCTGCACCCTGAGTGCAGTGTGGGTGATTTAGGGGCAGAGATCAAGTGTGCAGAGTTAGGGACACGGAGTGTGGGTGTCCCCATTCCTTGCTCCAGTGTGAGCCACCATATGTAAAGTGCTAGCCTGTGGTCAATATGCCCTACCGCCCCAGGGTCTGTAATTATCTGTAGACTTATGATCTTCTAACTTAAAACATATCTTTTTTTTTTTTTTTTTGGTACCACGGATTGAACCCAGGGGTACTTAACCACTGAGCCTCATCCCCAGCCCTTTTCTTATATTTTATTTAGAGACAGCATCTTGCTGAGTTACGGAGGCTGGATTTGAACTCACGATCCTCCTGCCTCAGCCTTCCAAGCTGCCTAACATTGTATTTTATTGGTGTATTTTGTTCATTATTAGCCTAGTTCCGTCCATTTGCAGGATGCAGGAGGGCGCCCCTTTGTATGTGGTCCATTACTCATGGATTGACTTCATCCTTACGTATAATGCAGAATTCTTTTTTTTTTTCTTTTAACGGGCCTTGATGTCTGCCATGTAAGCCTGAGAGCCCCTTCGTACGCCGTTTCCTTTTGAACTCGATGTCACGGGTGCCCACTTTATATCTCTTCATTCTCTCCTATTTCACTAGCTTCTTTTCTGCTTCCAAGTTGCTCAAAACCAGTTCCCACCACATCAACCCAATTTCTTCAAAGACATTCCTTCCCATCTGCAAACCCTCAGCAAACGCTTGGCCTGAACGTTCCAGATGAGGGGTGCATCGGGCCGAGCCGGGCCTTGCACACCCCGGGGCACACTGGGGCGACTGATAGTGTTGCACTGAGTCATTGCTGTATTTCTCTGCCGTGCTTAAATGTCAACACAGGTTTATTCTCCATATTCACTAAATAATCAGGATTTCTACTGAATCTGCATAATACCGCCTTTGACTGTGCATTTTTTATGCGTGCCTGTAAAATTTTATTTTCTGTCTTCCTGCTCTCTCAGTTGTGGTCAGGGGGGTACTGAAGATTGAACCCAGGGGCGCTCCACCCCTGAGCCCCGTCCCCAGCCCTATTTTGCATTTTATTGAGAGACAGGGTCTCCCTGAGTGGCTTAGGGCCTCCCTTTGGCGGAGGCTGGCTTTGAACTCGTGATCCTCCTGCCTCAGCCTCCCGAGCTGCTGGGATGATAGGCGTGTGCCACCGCACCCGGCTCTGTTGTCTCCGTTTTAAGAACATCAGGCTACATGGCTTGGACCTGGAATGTCCTCCAGGGCCCATGTGTTGAAGGTTTGGTCCCCAACTTGGCTGGGAGGTGACGGAGCCTTTGTAAGAGGTGGGGCCTAGTGGGAGTTCTTTTGGTTGTTAGGGACATGTCCCCAAGGAATCTGAGGGACCTTGGCCTCTTCCTCTCTTTCTCTTTTCACTCCCTGACCATGCTGGGAGCAGGTTGGCTCAGCCGGTTGTCCCCACCATGGTGTGCTGCTTTCTCGGATGCTTGAAAGCAATGTGTCTGCCCCAGGGTGATCTTGAACCCGGAAAACAAAATGAACCTTTTCTCTCTATAAGTTGATTCTGTCAGGTATTTGTGACAGTCAAGGCACGCTGACTCACACAGGCGGAACATGACTACCAGGCTGTTTCCTTTGTGTGTTTTGACACCACAGATCCCAGCATCAACAGATACCACGTGCAGTGGTTTCCGGAGGTGTGTGCCCACAACCAAACGGCCGGATCGGAGACATCATCTGCCGTGACCCACGTAAGGACACGACTGTACTCATCGGCCCTGTGGAGTTTGGGGATGCATTTGGTTTGTGCATGTAACAGGTCGTATTTTGCATTTTATTTAGAGACAGGGTCTCCCTGAGTTGCTCAGGGCCTCACTTTTGCTGAGGCTGGCTTTGAGCTCACGATCCTCCTGCCTCAGCCTCCCAAGGACTTACCATCTAACGTTCTGCCTCTTTTTCTCTTGTTCCAGGAAAATCACATCATTCTTCAGGACCTGTCCTTTTCCTGCAAATATAAGGTGAGCGTCCAACCTCTCCGGCCCAAGAGCCACTCGAAGGCAGAGACCATTTTCTTCTCCACCCCGCCGTGCTCTGCCCTGAAGGGGAAAAGCCACAAGCACGTTAATTGTCCCGGTGACGCAGGTAGGAAGGACTTGTTGCCCGTCCAGGTCCCTGGTGGTCCGTGACCCTTTGAAAATGTTCCTCCTTGCAGAGCGGCTGCCTGCGGTTGCTCTGGGTTGGTTTTTCTGTATGAGACACACACCCACCAGCCCCTGGGGACGCTCCCTGACCTCCTGGCTTTGCATCCCACAGGTCCCGTTGGGTCCAAAGTCCTGGCCAAGCCAGAGAACCTTTCCGCCTCCTTCGTGGTCCAAGACGTCAACATCACGGGGCACTTTTCCTGGAAGATGACCAAGGCCCACCTCTACCAGCCCATGACGGGGTTCCAAGTGACGTGGGCGGAGGTCACCACGGAGAGCAGGCAGAACAGTCTGCCCAACAGCATCATCTCCCAGTCCCAGATCCTGCCTTCAGTAGGTGTCCCTCGGTCCCCAGACCCCCGATGTGGGTGTCCCAGGCTCACTTCCCATGGCCACTTGGAGTAGCTTACGTGGGTCGTGCTGCCCGCCGTGACCTGGACTCCCGTTTCTGCTCCTGTCCCCTGAGCGCATCATTTTGTGAGCGCTAGACCTCGTGGTCACAAGGATCCCAGTTGACAACTGGGGCTGGGGCTGTGCCCGGCACGTGGGACGTTCGAGCCTCAGTATCACACAAAAATAAATCAATAAAAATTATTGTGTCCATCTACCGCTAAAAAAAAAAAGATATTTAAAGAAAGAGTTAAGAACTGGTGGATGCAGTCGTCACCCACTGTCTGCTAGGGCCACAGGCCTTGCCCCACCTCTATCCAAAGCAAACCCAGCCATTTCCCTCCATCTTTGGTCACCCCGTGTCCCTCTGATCCAAGTGGACATGCCCTGTTTGAAGTGCTGAATTGGGGGGAAAAATAGCTCAAAGAGGTTTGTTGTTTGTCTCCCCTTCCCCCCGCCTTCAACTTTGGCGACAGCCCCTGATTAGTTGGACACTCTTCCAAGCCACTGAATTCCTTGGCTTGGGAAGAAAAAAAAAGAAATCATGTGTGGGAAAACCTTCTTAGAATACCCAAACGTTGCTCCAAAATTCAAAAGAAACAAAAACGCCTTAAAAACCCCCGGAAGGAGAGGGCCCGTGGCCACGGGGACGTGGTGGTTTCATGAATGCCCGCGGTCGGACCCGGGTCTGGGCACCGGCGGGTGGACTGTGTGGTGGGGAGACCCGTTGGCTCCCTGGCCGCCGTTGGGATCATGGAGGATTCACATCACAGGAGGAGCCGCTGGGAACCTCACTCCATGGAGGAGTCTCACGTGAAGGAATCGGGGGGGGAAATGGGAGGGCGGAGAACCGGCCTCTGGGCACACTTGATCTCTGCCAAGGGTCTCGGCTGCCAGGCATGAGTCAGGGGCTAAGAAACCACAGAGAGAGAGAGAAGTCCAGAAAATTAGGAGGAGCCTGGACTGAGCTGTGGCTTGCAGAAGCCAGCCGACGTGCATGAGACTCTGGTCCCCACGGACTGTGTCCCCCCAGGTCACTGATGAGCCTGTGTCGCATGTCACCCTGCAGGACCATCACGTGCTCACGGTGCCCAACCTGAGGCCATCCACCCTTTACCGGCTGGAAGTTCAAGTGCTGACCACCGGAGGAGAAGGGCCGGCCACCATCAAGACCTTCCGCACGCCAGGCCTGCCGCCCTCGGCTGCCCACAGTGAGTACACCCGGGGGGCCAGGCGCCCGGCCGGGCAGGATGTGGGTGAAAAGGGAGAAGCAGGCCTTAGTGAGTATGCACGTCTGGGCAGCACGGATTCTCCTTCTCTGGAACAGGACGGTCCCCGCCTGATTCTATTTACTGGATTCGCTTTCGTGAAAAGTAGGTGGAGGGTGCTTCCTGCATTGCACGCCTGTTGGTCCTGCCTGACTCCTTCTAGATTCTTCTTCCTTCCTCCCATTTTATCTTCTACATGATATATTTTCCTTGTCCCCGAATCCGTAAGGACACGTGGGAAAAGCCTAGAGTTTCATATATCCCTTTGAAGTTTTTTTTTTTTTTAAGTTTAAAAATTTTAAAGATATTTTTGAGAATTTAGCTTATTTTTATTATTACTATTTTGGGGTACCAGGGATGGGATCTGCGGGGGTGCTTCACCACGGAGCCACACCTCCAGCCCTTTTTAAGTCTTTTTATTTAGAGATGGGGTCTCACTGAGTTGCTTAGGGCCTCACTACGTTGCCAGGCCTGGGTTGGAACTCGGGATCCTCCTGCCTCGGCCTCCTGCGCCGCGGGGAAGACAGGTGTGTGCCACGTCACCAGGCAAAATCAAGATTTTCATAGATTAAAACACAAGAACTGGTTTTTGTGAAGATGCTCATTTTTTTTTTATTAGAGATTTTACGATTATATATGGCAGGAGTTTTCCTATAGTACACCCAGGCATCTACTCTATTTAGAGCCAAATTAAGTAAAATTGATGAAAAAATATGCTCACCTAGTCTTCCCAAATGAATAGCAGCCTCTTGATGATGTTTAGATCATGGAGCTCATGAAAGTTTTATTGCTTAAATTCAAAAGCCAATTTTTAAAGATTTGTGCATGGATAAGAAAATTGAGATTAATCTTTTTTTTTTTTTTTGGTACTGGAGATTGAACCAGGAGCCGCTAAATCACTGAGCCACTTCCGCGGCCCTTTCTGTTTTTTATCTAGAGACAGGGTCTCGCGAAGCTGCTTAGGGTCTCTCTAAGTTGCTGAGCCTGCCTTTGAACTTGAGCTCTGATTTTTCGAAACAGTGGATGGCATTTGCATCTACGACCTGGTTGGCTTTGCGGTTTGCAGAAAAGCAGAAACTGTTTCCCTGAGAGAGTTTGCGGGCCCTCTCTCTGCATTTGTAGCGGTGGAATAAAACGTTTCTCCAAAAAGCTCCTTTGAAATTCTGTTGACCAAAATCACTTGTTCCTTTTTAAAATGGTGCCTGGAGGAAATAATAAAGAAGATCATGATTTGCATGAAGGACTAGGAGCTTCTCTCTTGGTCATTTTACGGGTTGGGGGGTGGGCACAAGGAAAGAGGAAGGGAAAATTGGGGCAAGACAGAGAAGAGAATGAGTGAAGGTGTGTCGGGGCCCTCAGGGTTGCAATAGGAAGGATTTCCCGCAGAGGCAGCGAGCGCTAGCTGCAGTCTGTGGGTTTGCACTATTATTCACTATGTGTGGGGCAATGTGACCGAGAGGTTTTGTCACTTCTAGGACCCCACCTGAAACACCCTCACCTGCATCATTACAAGCCTTCTCCAGAAAGGTACTGAACTGCTCCAAGGCTTGGAGGGACCGGGGACATGGCCACGTCCCCCCGCCACCCACCCCCAAAGAAGAGGCAGGTACTTCTGCGAGACCTTCGTCTCCCGGGCAATTCTGTGCACCTCTGCTAGCCCCAGCTGCTCCTGGAACAGTGCAGTCAGTCCCCAGGACGGACAAGAGTTCCCTCATGAAAACCAGACCAGGTCCAGTCAACCCTGAATTTCAGTCTTGTCGACGGTTTTGCTCATCTCGATGGACTATTTGCAGACTCGAGATCTCCCTGAATTTGGAACAGTAAAATATCAAAGCTGAGGACTGGGACCGGGACCCGGTTCACATGCATATCCCACATACCTTGAGTCCACAGATCAGACTTGATTAAATTATTGTTTTGATTGACAAGCCTTTGGGCCTGACGTCTCCAATCTTTCATAAGAGCCTTTTTTATCATGGATGGGTGGTTTTTAACTCACAGACTTTGTACTCTGAATTACACTCCTAAATTCGAATCTAAAAATGGTCCCGCATTAAGCGTATCAGGTTTCTTTTTACACAAAGAATACTGACGATCCAGTCTGTGACTTATTATTAACCAGACACCACAAAGCAGAGGAACTCAATGGATTAAGATGCTTCCTAGATTTTTTTTTGCCTTGGAACAATGAAAATTCTTTCTCGAGGACACCTTTTAGTAGTTCGCCCATTGTGGGAGATTTTCCTGGTGTGTTAACTTATTTATTTTGTTAGTGCAGAAAACCACCATTAATCTGCTTTGTTTCACTGTCAAGAAATTACAAAACGTCTTGCTTCAAATGAAAAGACTGAACCCGTGAGCGTTTTTGAAAGACCTTTAACCGAGTTTGTGTCTTTTCTGAATCTGAGGGAGCTCATTTGCACGTGAGAATGTTCTCCATGAAGTAAAAGATAAATAAATAAATAAGCCTTTGATTGATAAGAACAAAAGGATGATTGTTTCCCTTTCACTAACCTTTACTTTCTCAAATCTATTAAATCTCTTTTGATTGCAAAATCTACTCGACTCCAGACCTTCCCCGAGTACAAGGAACTCAAGTCATGAGACGTCATCAAGGTCACGGTGGTGCAGAGTTTGGGGGGCGGAGGGGGCAACCTGAAACACAGAACTATTTGAGTTGAGGGAACACGCACATCCGTGGTTTAAGATGTGCATAGATGTGCGTCTCTGCAGCACCAGTGTGTGTGTGTGCTCATCTATGTCTGTGCATATGTCCGTGGGACGATGTACTCCTACACGAAATTACCCAGGTACTGACCCCTACAGGAAAATAACCAGAGCATGCATTCGCTATCCCCAACTAGGATGGATTCTAGGGTCATCACCAGCATCTGAATTTCAATCTCTTAAGATTTCAAAAACACTGAAACCGTTAACGATTGGCCACGTGCATGTCTTTTTACCTAAACCTGTCACGAAACAAGTCAAAATACGTGTGCCAGCAGAGTTTGGTACTTTTGTAGAGTTAAAAATGCAGGAGAGTATGTGCATAGATACAAAAATATTATTAAATTATTGTGTAAATTTAATGCTATAAAATTTAATCGTGCTTCTTTTGTCTGGGGAGGAGACCTCGAGCAAATATATTTTCAGTTCAGATGATGAATCTGAATCTAACATCATCCTTAAGAAATCCAAAACAGCTTTTATGAGAGTCTAATTTTGTTATGTTACTCAGATTTTTAAATTTTAATAGTGTTACTGGAAGGAAAACACTGTTAATGAAGTTGTAAAAGAAATATGCTTCTTTTTTTGAATTTTAGTAATCCCCAGTAATAATCAAATCATCAAAAATCGTTAAGTTTTTTTTTGAATTTTAGAAATGTGAGTGCCCTAACAAAAGTGACAAAAATCTATTCGTTTTTCTTTTCCCAAAATAAGATACCATTTTAGTTCATCATTTTTGAATGTGTTTTATTGAAATTAGATGCATTTCTCTCCAATGAGAAAAGTAGAAATCCAATGATTAAAAAAATCGAGTTCATCAATAATATCCCCCCACCAGATACAGATTCACTCCTTAGTGATGAATTTTTCTGTGCCCACATCTTTTTCTAAGTGGAATTTCATGGAAAGGATTTTTACAAACTACCGTGTGTCCTTTAAATAGCTCGTTACGGCATATGGCGTATTAAAGAGAATAAAGTTTATGACACGTATTTTGGAAATGCTTATTAAGTAATACTTTCAGATTAAAAACACACCCAAATCCTAGAAATACCCTGCTCCCGACACCCACATGAACGGACTCAAATCGATCAGGATTTCTCAAATGTAGCACTTTTAAATTGAGGCTGCAGACGTCTTTGCTGTAGGGAGCTATGCATTGCAGGGTGATTTCCTGTCCCCCCAGGGGGCACGAGAAGACCCCATGGAGAACTGGTGCTCGAGAGTGATCTTTACTGAAAAGATGAGAATTTGCCCTTTATAAGAAACCCAATCATTGGCAGGAGAAAAGCCCCAGGAACTGTGGGTTAGCCAAGAAACGAATAGACTCTAATTTTGTTCCTACATCCCGTGCAAAATGTAGTTTCCAGACTGAATTTCAGCTTGTGTCTGCATCCTGCAAGAGCACATATTCATCTTGCCCCATGTATCAGCAAATGCCACGTACAATACTGACTTATTTATGTCCTTTATTACTCTGTGTCCACCGTGTTTCAAATTCACACACCCCCATAATGGCAAATAACACTAAATCTTAATAAATGAGGATTTACACCATAACCAGAGCACCAAGGCTAAGTATCTGCATGTTCCTGAAACTTCATCTTGAAATGTAAAGGGATCCGTGCAGACGTGCACTCTCACCTGTGATTTTGCATGACCACGGTCGGTTTCCTGTGAGGCTTGGACCCGCCTGACTGTGTTACCTCTGCTGAATATTTTAGCAACTTATCCAGTTTATAGAGTGATTAACTGAGTTCTCTATAAAGCTATTATTTTTTCTCCTCTTTAACTATATCGTAGTTTGCAGATAACAGAGCTGTTACCCTCTCACCCCAAAAGGTCTGTGGAAGTCATGTCGCTTCTCGCACGGTCATTGAAAGTCAGTATTTATTTATGTGTGTAATAAAAAAACAGTCGGATTTCTGTGTATGTCTGTCGTGTTATTTAGAGAGAAGTAACCTTGTAAAAAACGTTTTGTAAAAAGAAAAAACAAGGAAGTATTGTACATAGCCTGATATTCCATGACTCGCGTGATTTTCCCGTTAGAGTTTGTACATACTGATTCAGTAATAAAGCATCTTTAAACCCGTCTGGGGATTTGATCCATTCATTTCTTAAAGAAATCTCTCTCTCTCTCTCTCTCTCTCTCTCTCTCTCTCTCTCTCTCTCTCTCTTCTCTCTCTCTCTCCCATCCTTCTCTCTTTCCTTTAATTTAAGAAGAAAAATCACCAGTGTCCTATGAGAGTTTCAAAACATCTAAGTCTCCCCGAAAGTATGAATGGAATTTGGCGTCTGCTCAGTGTGAACAGGACAGAACTTCAGTTTAATGAGTATATTTTGGAGTTTGGCAATCAACACTTCAGGGTCTTTTCATCCTATTGAAAAGTGCAACTCCTAATCTGTAGTAAAACTGGAGTCTGCAGTTTTAAGTTGCTTTTCCCTGCCTGGACGTATCCGGAAAATTGAGGATCTTGGCGGTATTCATAGCATCTACTCAAATGTCTCTTTTTACTACTCCATAAAATATGGAAGGCCTAAAATCTCCCCTGCCTAAGTACAGCTTTACGAAGTTTGTAGCACCACCGGGAATTCAGGTGCGGAAGGCTACACAGGACAAGAATAGGTGTGGGGGAAGGATGCAGGATGGTCAATCCAGAGGAGCAGAAAGTACTTTCTGATGGATGGAAATGTTCTGGAACCAGACAGAAGCCGTGATGGTAAACCATTGAAAAATGTGCGAAATACCACTGAATCGTGCTGCTTTTGGTAAAGGTGCATTTCACATTGTGTGAAGCTCACCTCCGTTCAAAGGTGATGTTTAGCAATACCACCTAATTCCCCAGTGCCAACATGGGTGGAGGGCGTATTCGGTATTAAATGTGCATTCTGTTTAGTAACTCGTAGATATTGTAAGTATATTATAAGATTATCATATAAGATCATTATTTTATAAGATTATTATAAGTTGTAGAATGTTTACTGATTTGTGATTGATGGACCTTGTTGTTAAAGGAAAAGCAGATTTAGGGGTGAGAGAACTGAAATTTGAAAATAGGCATTGGGACACAGGGTGTGTACCCATTTCTTCTCTACCTTGAACTTTTTTTTTTTTTTTTTTGCCCTGAGGATTAAATCTACAGGTGCTTTATGACTGAGCCACATCTCCAGCCCATTTCTGCAGTTTTTATTTTGAGACAAAGTCTCACCAAGTGGCTTATGTCCTCACTAAGCTACTGAGGCTGGCCTCAAACTTGTGAGCCTCCTTCCTCAGCCTCTGGATTTGCTGGGATTATAGGCATGGGCCACCACCACGCCTGGCTGAATCATGAGATTATTCCTCTCACCCCTCAACGAGTTTCCCGTAATGTGATATCTTCCAAAATTATAGCACAATATCACAACCAGGAAATTGATGCCGATACACACCATATGTCATACGCACGCAGGCTAAGGTGTACATGTGGGGTTTTGTGTGCATTCAATTCTTTGCAAGTTTTATCACATGTGTACAAGCCAATGTGTTTTAAGCAGGTGAACATCTAAAACACATGCAATTCCCTAAGTAAATTAGCTTGAGGAAATATTTCCTTTTTTTTTTCACGTTCCTCTAAAGCAGAATGTAATTTACTTTATATGAATTTTAACTTTAACACGGTACAAACGATCAGCTCAACGTGTATCTGATTTCATCTTGAATTTCCATCAGTGGATTGTTTTAAAAAAACGGCTGAATACTTAACAAGTCTGTCCGGAAAAAAAAAAAAATCTATGCATCCAATGAAACTAAAATTTATGGGCAAGTAAAACGTATAGATTTGAAAAAAAAAATCATTTTCCTGAGAGGAATTGGGTTGCACATTTATGGTCTAGAGTGGACCTGAAGCAATAAAAGGACATTGAAATTCACCATTGTTTAGAAAACGAAGCATCGCCTAGAGTAGGAAACAGAACCAAGTTTCAGGTGAACGCAGAGTTTAAAGGTCGAGTTTGGAACAATGGGCTCTGATGATTAGCGTGACCCTCACCCTGGGTCAGAGGCCGTCACAACGGGCTGGTTTATAAGGAGACCAGTGTCCTCCCTCGGGCATCTTCAGGTCCGGAGTGAACCGTGCACATCAATGCCATTTTAAAATGTCCCCGGGTGATTCCAACATGTGCCCAGAGCTGCAGACCAGTCCTCAGACCTTGAGGAGGTGCAGAATGACCAATGTTAGCTCTGTCCCTACTTGCTGAACTGAAGACGTCAAAAAATGTCATATTGAAGCTTCACATTTTCATTGCACTGGGGTGGCTTTCCCCCCACTTTATTCTCTGAATTAAATGATACATAATAGTGCAGATACAGATAGGAGCATCTCAGCAAATAAGCACACATAATAGGTACCGGGATAGATAGAATGGGCACCGTTCAAACTTGCTTTGGGTGCAATAGAGAATTTTATCGTGGGAAATACCGATGAAGTGTGGGGTCCGTCCAATATAACTGTGGTTCTTTCTAGAAGGTTAGCAGAGATGATTGCTCTTTTCCTCGCCTTTTCACAACAAAGGCAGCTGGTTGTGATTTCAGGGCCGTCCAAGACGGCCAATTAGAATTGATCGGTTATTGCACAGAGCGCCAGACCATCCTGCAATCCAAAGCAGATCCCGACTTGACCTTTTCGCCTTCAATATCTCCTTCCTCATCTCACACAGCAGCCAACCCGACGCAGTGGATTTCATTCCAAATAATGCAAAACATCCCTCACGACTTTCTGGAAGGGCTGAGCTGCTGGGTGCAGCGAAAGACCATCCTTGAGGTTTGTCAGAATTTACTGGAGAGGCTAGCATTAGCCTCCAGACTCCCATTTACCGAGGACTGGCTCCTTCCTTTGCTTATTTCTTCAAACGCCCTGTGGGACTGACAAGGTGTTCAAGCTAAGGACGGTGAGGCAAGGCTTGCTGAAGCCAACTGCCCGAGGTCAGGTGGCTAGTGATTGGCAGGCTCTGAAGACGCGCGTGTACCCCCTAGCTCCACGGTTCTTCAGTAAACCGCCAAAGCCTTCCTCCTGCCAGCCTGCTGTCTCCCAGACTCAAGTCACAAAGACGAACTTGCACCCAGACTGTCATAAATAAGCACACAGATGCATTTGCGTAAGTATGTGTGCCAGTAGAAAATACTATGCATATACGTACGGAATGCTACGTGTATATGCACAAAGTACCATGCACACATGGGCATGGAAAGCTATATTTTGAATATTATAAATAGGAAACACTTTGTGTATATACATGAATACTATGCACATAGGCACAGAATACGATGTTTCTAAGTCTCTACTGCAATACATCTCTATGACACTAAGCTATCATCTGTGCATAGACGGAGAGGAAGCTGAATGTCACCGTGACTTGATATTTTGGAAGCAGCTTATTGTTTGTTCTGGGTTGTTCTTTGTTTTTGAATCAACCCCTGACTGAGTCCCTCAGAATCTTGAAGGTGCAGGCTTTGATGTGATGTTCCGATTGGTTCAACCACGCAGCGGCCACATGAGGCTTTCCAAACTCCTGGTGCAGAATGAAAGACTTGCAATTGAGCCACAGCATAGCTCCCCTGCTGCACTTCATGGGCTGGACCCCTGGCCTGGACCCTGATAGATAATGCACAACTTTTTCCATTTTTATGCACACTATTGCTACGATTTCTCCGCCCTCCCTTACCTCTCTAACAGGACAAAACTGTCATTGCTTTTATTGTTGTGCACAAGAGAGAGAGATCCCTCCACTTTCAGGATCTGAGTAAATCTGGGAGACTTGAGGATGCACCTCTTAAGGACTTACCAAGGACGTCCCGACAACTGCTACATTTATATGGTTTTGCTTCCAGTGATTCAGCGCCCTGGGGTCTGCCAGGGTTTGACCCCCGCGGGTCAAAGAGCCAACCGCATGGTGAATTGGGAAGTCCAGGATGGAGATTTTAAGAAAAAAAAAATACTAAATAGAAATTCTTTGGGCAGGTTTGATGTGATTATTGGGATGAAATTAAAATGATGAGGTTGGTAGATGTGATTTAACCCAATATTTCTGAGTCCCGAAATAACTGCCAAGTCAGATCACACTACAAATCGAGGGTGCACTTTGGAGGCGCACACACACACACACACACACACACACACACACACACACACATCCATATTTTGGTACCCGGGAATTGAACCCAGAGGCACTTAACCACTGAGCCCCATCCCCACCCGTTTTTCATGTTTTATTTAGAGACAGGGTCTCGCCGCGTTGCTTAGTGCCTTGCTAAGCTGCGGAGGCTGGCCTTGAACTCACGATCCTCCTGCCTCAGCCTCCCAAGCTGCTGGGATGACAGGTGTGTGCCACCGCGCCCCGGCTGGAGGTATATTTCATGGGCAAATGTTACCCCAAATCCTGCGTTAATGCATTGTATAGAAACTCGTGGCTGCGGACTGAACTGTGTCAAATGTTCACTATCAATATCAACAAAGCACTATTTTCCCTAATGAGTGAACGTTAGCCCACGGAGTCGGTGGAAGACACCAGATGTTTTTGTCCATGGGAGAATGATTTCATGTCTTGTTTTTTCCTGTGTGAACGGCACCCAATGATTTAGGATTTCCTGAAGTCGTTTCCAGGACTGGACTCCCAGGGGGGCCATGCTAAGGGTAAAGATGCCCAGCGTTTCCAGAACATGGGTGCAAAATGTTCTCCACTGTCCTGGTCACCTGCAACCCCGTCTTCCCCTCAGAGGGCCGGCTGTGACTTCGATGTCAAGCTGGAGAGAAGAGGCCAGAGATCTGGTATCCGCCCCCCTTACGTCATCCTCCCAGTGCCTTGCCCTGGGCATCTCCGAGTGGCTCCCGAGATGTACCCACAGCCCAATTCTGCCACCTGCCAGCAGGACTGACCCTCTCCATTGCACTGTCACTGTGTGCACAAGAGAAGACGTGCACCTCCCTTTGTGTTCCCTCCCAGGGACTGTGTTCTCATCATCTGGTCCAATGCCACCTTCCTCCAAGGAGACCCAAAGCCCAAACATCCGCATCCATCCAGCTGCTGACTCCCCCATCGCTGTAAAAAGCACAGGGGA